TTAAAACTGTTTTTCAGAATATTTGGAAAAATACAAATCGGATTAAAAAAAAGTTGCAATAAAAGTTGTTCACCTCGAAGAGAGACATCCATTAACATAAAGCTCGACCCCCCTGCACCACCCCCGGGGGCGGGAGGGGGGTGACTTTGAAATCTTAAATAGAAACCCCTATTTTTTATTGCAGATTTGGATTCTCCGTGAAAAAATATGTAACTTTTGTATGAGACATTTTTTTCGTTTCATGATAGATGGCGCTGTAATCGGCAAAAATGAAAATGAGTTGAAAATTGTTGAAAAATGGTAATATCTAAAACAATACACATCAGATTAGGAAAATCAAAGTAAATTTTTTGATATTTTTGAAAATGCTATCATGTGACACCGTCTACCCTCCTGTAATGCATTCTTAGACTATTTTTAGCTTTACCGAGGAACAACGACGTGGACGTAGCCCAGTGAGAAATGATTCGTCGAATCGACGTCAATTCGACGGTGTCGATGTCGATTCGACGTCGTTTCGACGTCGATCGACGAATCATTTCTCACTGGGAGTAGTAATTTGTTCCCTTCGGGGTGCTTGATTACTGTGAGTCCCCTTGCCTCTCACAAGTGTTTCATTGAAGCAAATGTTCGAAAAGCAAAGTGGTCAGACTGTTCATTTTACTTCAATGATTCGGACTGTAAACGTCTCTTCTCAATTGTTCCACGATGTTAACGATTGTAGAGAGAGTAGATATCATTTCCTCGTACTTTGAGGCTCATAGAAATGTTGAGAGGCAAGGGGACTCACCAAAATCAACCCAGATAGCAACGCGTTATGATCATATTTCATCACATCATGATTTTCTAATTCTGATAGACATTTGTCCAATTTTTCGTAATCATATCATGATGACACATGTTATGAGTACAATGTAATATGTTCTTGAGGACAAACTGTGATCTCAGATTTTGCTGTTATTTTTGCATTCCCTGATAATCATACATTTACGACAATCAACTGTCATGTTTTGTAAGTCAAATATGTGTCACGGTTGTCATCATTATGTTATCATAATAAAACATGTCTAAAATTATGCTTGCCACATGGCAAGAATAAACTCACAGCTGTCAACGCTGTGTTCGGAGAGTCATTATCAGCGCTATGCATCATTCTATTTCTGCGTTATATGCAAAGGTATAATAGGAAGTTTTTGCAAGGCTGCTGCAAAAGCGGGAGGCATACACTCTTGCATAAAGGCATAATGCACAACGCAGAAGAAAATGAACCAATTAGAGTCCTCATATCTATATTGCCACGATGGAAATGTAGGACTCTGATTGACTTGTTTTCTTATGCTTCTGCATTATGCGCTTATGCAAATGTGTATGCTTCCCGCTCGCGTCCTGTGCATAAGCCATAAGGACTTCGTGTACTGTGCGTGCCGCGTGCGCAAGTGTTTGTTCCTCCACTTCTTTCTGTATAACCTTATTATGCAATACATGTTAAAACAACAAGCAACTTCGTAGTTTGTTTTGGTGAAAATTATTTTTAAAAATATACAGCATTGGCATATATTATTTTGCTTTTATTTTATACATCTCAACATAGGCTGCGTTCGGGGAGGTGCTATTTAGCGCTATGAGTGTGCTCTGTCCTTGTTACTTGCAAAAGTCGAACAAGGACAGAGTACGCTCATAGCGCTAAATAGCGTCTCCCTCACCATATAACCTCACAAAATTATTAATCATAAAATGAACTCATAAAGTACCATAAACACAAGCAAACCTTGTTGTCATTTTATGTGATCCAAATAGCTGATAATATGCAGTATTATATTTCATGCAATTTTTATGTTCATTATGTTGCTATTTTGTAAGTTTTCCGTGATTTCATAACATGTCTGCATTCTGAGCAGCATATGAGCCCTTATCGGTGTCTATTCTTGTCCTCAGGTCTTGCAGATGCATGTATGCAAAATGAGCTCAGAATGAACACATGTTGCTATCTGGGAAGAACCCCGAAGGGAACAAATTACTACTACGTCCACGTCGTTGTTCCTGAGTAAAGCTAAAAGTAGTCTAAGAATGCATTGCAGAAGGGTAGACGGTGTCACATGATAGCATTTTCAAAAATATCAAAAAATTTACTTTGATGTTCCTAATCTTATGTGTATTTTTTTTAGATATTACCATTTTTCAACAATTTTCAACTCATTTTCATTTTTGCCGATTACAGCGCCATCTATCATGAAACGAGAAAATGTTTCATACAAAGTTACATATTTTTTCACGGAGAATCCAAATCTGCAATAAAAAATAGGGGTTTCTATTTAAGATTTCAAAGTCACTCCCCCTCCCGCCCCCGGGGGTGGTGCAGGGGGGTCGAGCTTTATGTTAATGGATGACCCTCTTCGAGGTGAACAACTTTTATTGCAACTTTTTTTAATCCGATTTGTATTTTTCCAAATATTCTGAAAAACAGTTTTAAATGCCTCACCCTGTATAATATGGACTGATACTTTTTTTAGATCGATAAGAAAGTGTTGAAACGTAAGCTTAACCGGCAGCTTCAGAAAATTGAAACTCGTAAAGTTAAGTTAGAGAATTATTTACGAATACTCAACCAGCCCTATCCTGATAATAGTGATAATTTTTATGATAGCATGTCTTCAGACGACTCTGTGCCTATAAGTGGCTACAGCTTTGATGAGCAAGTGTTTATAGAGGAAATAGAACAGGAAGTTGGAGTTGCCGATAATGCACAGAGTAGTGATTCTGTAGATATAATTAATGTTAGTAAAGAAGAAGAAGAGTTAGGAGACGAGTATGTCAGAGAGAGAAGTGATTCTGATAGTGAGCACAATGAGTACAATAATAATAGTGACGAAGATGAATATGGAAATAGTGATAAAGATAATGACGATGTACTTGCATTTGCTAATGATCATGAACGAGGTTTATATGTTGTTGATACAATTCGACAATGGGTTTTAGAAGGAGGAGGTTTGTCAGTGACAAAATTAGATGCTCTCCTAGCTCAACTTCATCTTGCTTTTCCTGAGGTGCCA